TTGGACACAGCACAATATGGGTCTTTCAACAGGAAGACACCCTCACTTATTACCTTTTGTGAATGCTAAGTGCTTTTATCCAAGTATTTACAGCAGTCGAGCCAATGTAATCCATTCTTTTGGTAAGGGTATGAAGATATTTTGGCAGTGCGTTCTCAATATACATAGATCAGCAACAGTTAGTCCTGCTTCTGCAATGCCAAGTTGTCTCGAACAATTCCGTCTGCCTAAGAAATTTATGTCCTTATCAAGATTATTCTCCGCCACGCAGCGACATTTTCATGTCTTGCTCAACTAATTTCTCATTTGCCCGAGACAGTCGTTGATAACACTATCCATCCCACAAGTCCTCTCTGGCTCAGAGGTAATGAGGCACTGCCTTACCTTCTGGGGGCCCCTGCTGCAGATAGGATGGCAGCTCTTCAGTGTTGGTGACATCAGGGGATGAACCAGCCTCTGCTACCTCCTCAGTTTCTGAGTTGGGCCCCTGAAAAAAAAAAAAAAAGTATGCTGGTAGATTCAAATAGGACAACAATGCTTCAGAGGGAAATCGTTTTTTTTTTTTTTTTTTTTCTATTAAGCCACTTCAGGCTAAAATTACACAGAGAAATGCTGGATAGTAGCAGAAGCAATTCATAATTTGATCATGGACAGAAAAAATACCATTCAACTAGGTGCAGGTGTCTACAAAGTACTGGTTTAAAGTTGCTTGTTCACCATCAATAATGTCCAAGTAATGACATTGCACCTAAGCAGTGTAATTAAAAACAATCTTTTCACTCATAATGCTATTGGTCTTATCTTTACAATGAACAACAACAAGACCCATTCCAATAAGATATAAGCCAAATAATCCGCAAACTACTCAATTGCGATGTACATTACAAAGCATTCTGACTATGAGAAAATTACTATAATGTTCCCCAATGCGAAACGGTGGTTGTAAAGGAAAGTGGGAACAAAACAGAAGGATCGGTAAAAGATGTCAAACAAGCAGTATAAATAGAGATAAAGTTAAAGTGAGCCCGTTTAAGTCAATTTTTAATAAGTGAAAAAATGATTGAAGACCAAGTTAAAAATAGTAACTTCCAAAAGATATAGAATACATGATTAAATACTGAGCCAGCCGGATGCGCGGTCCATTTTGCAGCTGGCATTAAAACTGCAGACAGGATGTGATTGATATATCAAAGCTGCGTTTCCGATTTCAACGCTGTAACGCAAGCTTTTGCAAAAATACGGTAGATAAACTAGTAAAATGACACATCAGGTGGGATGTAACGTGAGCTTTTAATTGTAGTATCAGCCAGCTTGACTGGCGCTGCCTCATTGCTCAGTTGTTACCTGAATCGGAAGGAAGTAAGTTGGTTAAGACAGCGTAGCATTAGATAACAACTCGCGTGCCGAGCGATAACATTTTATCTGCATAACTGCCAGAAAATGTAATCGGCAAATGACGACACAAAATATAAGGGCCAATATTAGGCAGCTTACAGTGGCGAGCCGCTCGTGTCACCATAAACCGAAGACAATCTAGCAATGTAATACAGCCTACAAAAGGGCAAACAGCTTGACGTTTTGTTCCAAACAGCTGGCACGGGGGAGGGGGTATTCCTCTTGCTTCAATAAAAATAATGATGGCAATATTTTTTTACGACAACCACTCGTGATAATTACTTAATTAAAAGTCTTTTCCCCACATAGCAAGATTAGGATCATTCTGATTAGTATTCGCTACGACAGTCTAGTTGCCAGATAAAGCAATAGGCTAAAATTCCAACGAAAACAAACCCAGCCACCCACCGACTCACCTTCATCGCTGTAGTAGCAATTACAGAGGCTTTCTTATGTTCACTTGGCAGAGGCTAAAATTTCGAATGCAATGTCAGTGCAATGTTGGTGATTGATTTTGTTTAGCGACTTTGCTGCAGGAATACCTAGCCAGCTAGGAAGCTGTCAGGGATATATTTTCCTCACTTAATGAAACAGGAAATGACGTACGAATGTTTACTATTTGTTGAATTCTATGGTTGAGTTGATGTCCGTTAGTATTTGAGACGACAGAGGGCAGCAGATAGCCGCCAAAATACTCTCGGAAATTTTAGCCAGGTGGATGTTGGCAGAACTAGAACACTGAAATAAACCTAATTTGAATGTAATTTTTGAGCATAATAATAATAACCTTTTGAAGCACATTAGGAACATTCAGTATATTTACTCTAGATTTAACAGATTTTTATTATAATTATTATTTTTATTTTTATTTATTTTTTTTTCCGAGTTTCCTATCATTTGTGTCAACCAGGTCTGCAAGAACGAAACCGCAAATTCATATTTCAGCTCCCAGGGCGGTCAGTGGGCGTTTCCTGACATATTCTGGCCAGCCCGCCCACTGGAGTTAAATATAAGGAGGCTAACAAATGGGGAAATAAACATATATGAATGACATAAGTGTAAACAGAGAGGATTTGATGATACTGAAGTGAACCTTGGCTGCCAGGGAATCACTGCTTTTGACCAGGCAACCCGAGGATCTTAGAAACAGGGATGAATTCACTCAAGCTACCAAAGGTACACAGAAGAACTATCTTTAGATTGAAACTTCAGGATGAGTAATTGAGAATCTTTAGGTGGACTTGCTCATCATACCTGAGTTCCCCATAGGGGCGGAGAAAAGCCAAGAAGGTCCACTTACTGATCTCTTCTAAAGAAAAACCTAAACACAATCGTTGATGCTCCTTGGTAGCAGTGATGGGGTAGTTACTCTAAAAAAGTAATGCATTACACATTACTAGTGACTTTGTTAAAAAAGTAAACCCTTACTTTACTCAATTACTCACTGCTGAAAGTAAATAGTTACACTACTACTTACATTACTTTGGGATTACCCAGCACCATCATCTGAAATTCACCATAACTTAATTAATTAACCATATCATGTTAAAACCTGGCATATGCCCAGATCAGCACAAATCTTAGGAGGGCACACACAAGATCTCTCTTTCATGCTCTTTAATATGACAAAGCCAACAGCGAAGTTATAATTATCAGCCCAAACAGCACTTCACAGAAAAGTGAGTCAAGTACAAGGATACAGTACTGGCATAAACACGCATAAAAAAGGACGTTTAATTTGTATTTCTGCCCTCGATCTCAATTGCCGATATACTCAAAGAAGAAGAAGAAGAAGAATATTAGAAGAAGAAGAAGAAGAAGATGTTTTTCTGGCCTCCTGTCCTGCCAATAGTTCAAGAATTTAACTTGATAATTTATTTGTTAGTAACTGCAATGCGATTACTTCAATCGGGGTCCCCAATCTTTCCCAGAAAGGGCCAGTGAGTGTGCAGGCTTTCATTGCAACCATGCAGCCACACACCTCAGGCTACTAATCAAGCTTATTAGGAAAGAGTCCAGGGGTTGATTAGTAGTATCAGGTGTGAAATTGCTTGGTTGCAATGTAAGCCTACACTGACAAAGCCTGACTTAGGTTATCAAAGTAATGTGTTACATTACTGTATTACTGATAAATGTTATCTGATTACAGTAATTAGTTACTTTGTAATGCGTTACCTTCAACACTGCTTGGTAATGCCTGACAGAGCTGTCACACTTCTTTTAGCTGCTGCTCCAGCATTATTAACATAGGGAGCAATGTGGAAATTGCTCCCTATGTTAATGCCACAAATGTTTAATTTTGTATTGAAAGATAGAAATAAATAAAGTGAAGAAACGGGACATGGAGGTGTGTTAAGGACATTGTGAAATGGTGGCCATTTAGGGATTTTGTGGATAAATTATTATTGAAACCTAGGAGAAAACATTCCTTTTCAATTAATTATTAAAGCTGTGTGATAATGAAATAAGCCGGTACATAAATATCAGATACTGTGACCTACAAGACTCTAATTGTGCCTGCTGGAAATTAATCTCAGCATAGATTTGTGGCAGAACTGCAGCTGAAAAGAAGGACCTTTTTGAGTGACCTCTTACAATACCTTCTATTGGGCATAAAATTAAGCACAACAAAATTAATCAAATCAATTACAGAGGGGTTCCAAAGTGCATCAACATTAAATAATAAATTAATTGGATCCAAGAGGCCATTGTTTGCCATGTATGCACCTCCTGGAACATCTGAACATAAAAACCACAGGGTCCAGAAATTAATATGCTTTAAAAATCCATTCGTGGGGCTTTGCAAGGAAATTGGCCATTATATCAACTCTGAAACCCTGATAGACTTAAAACTGTGTGCTCTCCCGTAATGCAAACACGGTTGAGCTCTTGGGTGTCGAAAAGTATGCTCAAATTTTGGTGTCTCCAGCCACAAGTACGTATACACCACTTGCTCACTAGTCCGGACAGTCCCAAAATCGAAGCTGTTTGCAAACAATATGCGCATACCCTATGCCGACAGTACTGAAGAAGAAATTTACATCAGATGCACTGTGCATAAGCAGTGCCATAGCACGCACGCGATGGATATACCAGTTCCTTTAAAGGCCTGAATATACTTCAAAGCGGACGTGTACGTGAGCAGCTGCTGATAGTGGTTCTTGTTCACACTTTCTAGGGTCTGCTTGGACGACATGTTCTACGCTAAAGCGCCCTAGATTTGCCTTGTAGTGTAGCATAGTGGCTGCAGAGACGTCACAAAAAATTGGAGGCATGCAGAGGTCTGCACAGAGGCAACGCATACTCCCTCTGTAAATGAAATTTACATCCTGAGGACCCTAGCGGACTCTGGCGTACTCTCAGATGCAGAAAGTATAATTTCAGTTTAAGGGCCCAATTTTTCACAAAAGCCAACCCCTTGCCAAAAATGTAGTCAATGGCATGCCAGACGATGCACTAGGGGCGTGGTGATCGCATTTTTGGTATTTTTGTGGAAGCAGAAGTGCAACACACTCACGGCGCACCTCGACAATGGCTGGGATCAGACAGAATACATTATGAGTGTTTGAGGCCCGTGTTGAATTAATCAAATATTCTCTCTTCTGTCCACAGTGGCGCAGTGATTAGTGCTGTTGTCTCACAATAAGCCGGCTCTGGGTTTGAGCCCCAGCTGGGCAGAACCTTTACGCATTGAGTTTTCAGTCTTCCCTGTGCTTACATGGTTTTCCTCCAGATTCTCCTGTTTCCCCCACCCAACATGGACATGCTCGATGATAACACTCCTACTATTGCCCCTGACCAAGGCTCTGGCTTCAGAACTGGAGTTCGTCCCCCAGGTGCTGCTGCATTGTGGCTCTCCTCTGCCCCTGAAGTAACTAGGATGGGTCAAATGCAAAGGTGAAATTACCCCATGGGGTTCAATACAATTTATTTTATCAAAACCTATCTCATTTCAAATTATTTTGGTCATGGAGGAGTGCAGAGCAACTGTGAGAAAAAGTTTCTCCCAGGAGTAAACTGATGTCCTTTTGCAGAAAGTGTGATTATGGAAGAAGTTTTGTTCATGTTTCATTATTGTTAAAATACTTGTTATTTTGTAATGTGAGCCTGGGGCTTTTATTGGCTAGCTGGGAAGCAGCTGCTCTAACACCAGGCCCATCCAATCCAGTGTGCTCAGCAGCTTATTTCCCCCCTTATATGCCCCATGCAGACGAACAAACTGCAGCCACAGCACAACTGATGGTTCCATGGCTCACAGCAGCCAAAATGCCCAGGGCTTGCAGGGAAGAGCCAGTTGCAAGGAATGCAAGCTCAGCTAGCACTGTAACTGCGACCAGGAGCGCACAACGACTTTCAGAGTTGCCAACTATATCTGCTCGCAGACTTCCACCGTAAAGTACTAGGGTCAGAAACCTTGCTGGATTTTAAAGTCGTTCTATAGCCCCCTTTTTTTCCTCCGTTGTCTAAGGATGATGAATTCCTTTTACTTGAAGGTTACCCCAATAATTAAAAGTGCATCAGAATAAATAGGCTTATATTCCAACCTATTTAGCTCAGGCGGGTTTATAATCAGGTAGGTAATTTCAAGACAATGACAGTTTATTGCATTATTTGCTGGTTATGCAAATAGCCAGTTATTAATCTTTTAATGACAAGGATCGGACTCAGGACTCAGGCATTGACAGAGAATCAGTTCCCCAGGTTTGTTTAAGAGCTTTCCCGTAGTAAGATAATCCAGTTCAGAGCTGAACAGTACACCTGCAGCACAAGAGGGATAATCCAAAAAGAAGTCAGGGTACAGTCCAAAGGCCTTAAGCCAGATGGTTAGAAGGCCAGAGTAAGGGGAGATCAGATTCATGAACCTAAAACCAGCTGAAGCAAAAACCAGAGTGTCTCAATACACAAAGGAATAGGCAATCTCCTAAAGCAAAGGACAAAGCAGAATCTAAACTAGAAAAACTCACTAGGAAATACAAGGCTCGTCGTGAAGTCTAGCAAGGCAACAAACTCAAAAGGAAACAACTAAACTAAGTGTATGTAAAAGGGGAGAAAATAACAGATGAAGTCGTGAATACAAGTGTGTGGGAGCTGGGAAGTGTGACTAGGGGTGTGGCTACAAACAAGGGAACCAATGGAAAGTAATTAAACAGAGAGGAGAGAGTCAGTGTGGCAGTGAGGAGTAAAACCAAAGCACATGTATTTAAACGGGGGATGGAAATGACAACATGAAAATAAATACAATATTTAAAATAACAATAATAAACATAAGAATATACAAAAAATGCAACAAATACAAAAAAAAAATCAGAATTCAGAAACTGACATTTTAATCAAGCAATCAGTGAGAAGAATTTGAATTTATGCCCCCAATTGGTGCAGTCTATGTGTCGGGACATTTTCTGATGTAATTATGAAGCTACATGATTGATATGATGTATAAAACATGATGTGATACAATTTTTTCAGCCTCAAGGAGTGATATAATTTTCAAAACCAGTAATTGCAACTGTCAGAAAGTTGTTTGTGAGATTTTGGACCAGTATACCTCTAAAGACACGCCTCCTGCCATCCAGCTCACCAGTTTACCAACCCCAGAATGCTCATTGCTCATTATTGAATTATCACTTTATGATGCCTTTTAAATGCCATGCAGTAATGGTGCTGTTGGTCTTTTGCAAGACTGTTGCTGTATTTTGCGTATCATAAGCCTAACCATAACTAAGTGCCGCTTACCTTGAAGCACACTTTTATTTTTTTGTTTAAAGGAACCTCGTTCCATTTTCTTTGATTGTATAATACGTAATCGAGAGCTGTATTTCCATCTGTCTTTTGGAACCTCAATTCCTTTACTTTTCGCGTTGATTGCAACGCTGGTGCCTGCTGCACAGCTGTGCGGGCATAATAAAAAGCTCAAATCAATCCGTGCACCTGAGTCCAGTCTACCACTTCCTGTCAGTCACTGTGCACTGGACACAAGACATTACAATACCTTGACGAAAGTTCCAAAATGCAAGTATTCATTCAAAATTGATCTGGTCCAGTAGGGCGAGTGGTGGACTAAAGCACAGTAATAATTTGCAACCAAATTACACCATGCCACTAGATTGAACTTGACACACCTCCCACTGTGCCCATACTGTCCCTTTTCTCACAAGGAGTCACCAAATTATTATTCAGGTGTTACTTCGAATTTGATGACCCATCAGATTCTGTGACCTGCAGCGTTAGAAGTTCTCAGATCGTTTACTTAAGTAAAACAATCTTCTATAATGTGCAAGTATATCATTACAAGTACAAATCCTGCATTTAAAACCCTTGTAAAAGCATGGAACTATTAGCACATAAATTTACTTAAAGTTCTGATGGAAAAGTGGCCCAAAAATTGCTTTTCAAAATAAGGTCTAACTGAAATATTAAATAAATTTAACAGAGTACATTAGTAATACAGATCAATCAATGCAAAAGAAGAATTGTATTGTTCATTTAATACATCAGACACAGCCCAACAAACAGAGTACTTGGACGAACATTCCAGGTCACAGACCTGGGATCACCAAATCTGGTGAAACATAGCGTAGGTCTGCTAACATCCTGACTATGCCATATGAAAATGTTACTACACTGGCAATAAGCCATGCTTTGTGCACTTCGGACCCACTGTGCCAACAAAACAAGGAAACCAAGTCTAGTTCTGACGGGCTGAATGAAGCCAAAACGGGCTATACACTGAAAGTTTTACAGCTATTTGCTGTCACAGGAAAACATGGCACTAGCTAGTATTTTGCTGCTGGCCTGAGCTGAATTTGGTATCTCATTGTTTTCAGTGGCACAAGCTCGCAGGTGAAGTAGGTAATTTGAAGCCTCCAACTGCAGACTGGCAGTATCAGAAAGTTTTGGCCAAAAATCATGCCACGTGATGGCTTGCCACGACAACAGACCACAGGTGTCAAATGAACAACAAGGAGACTATCCATTACGTAAACACGTGTTTGGCCATTGTGAAGCATGCTATTTCAGCTATAATACAGTGTCTGAACCCTCAATCATTCAACCACTTTATTATGCACTTTGGTACTGCAATATTACTTGCACGTGGGTAGTTAATCCACATTTATACTGGAATTGCTTTTGCTACTGTAATCAAATCATCAGGAGGAGACAGACAAGAGAAGAGGCTTGTGAGTAACAGAGTAAAATATAGAAAACAAGGAAAAGAAACATGATACAATTTTTATTGCCACTGTTGCTGTACTCCGGCAGCTTTTTACTCTGTTGCGCATACATCCACGTACACTACCAGTCAAAAGTTTTAGGACACACCAATTTTTCCAGTTTTTTAATAGAAAATTATGCAGTTTAATGTCTCAATCATGGAATCAATTTATGAACCAAAATGTATTCAAAACTTTTGACTCAAAGTAGCCACCTTTGGCAGATATAGCAGCTGAACACACTCATGGCATTCATTCTACAATGGAAATCAAATATTCTTCAGAAAGTTCTTCCCAACTCTGTTGTAGAAGTTCCCATAAATGTGTGGCACTTGTAGGTTGCTTTGCTTTCACTCTTCTGTCCAGTTCATCCCAAACCATCTCGATGGGGTTTAAGTCTGGAGACTGTGCTGGCCACTCCATGTTTTCAAGCTTACCATCTTGTTCTTTTTTCCTAAGGTAGTTCTGGCAGAGCTTGGACTTATGTTTTGGGTCATTATCTTGCTGTAGGATGAACCCCTGACCAACTAGGCGCATACCAGAGGGTACTGCATGGCGCCGCAGAATGCTGTGGTAGCCGTTTTGGTTCAGGGTGCCTTTCACTCTGTAAGTCACTGACCCTGGATCCAGCAAAACAGCCCCAGACCATCATGCTTCCTCCTCCATGTTTGACAGTTGATGTCACACACTGAGGAACCATCCATTCACCTACTGGACGGCGTACAAAAAACCTGGGTAACCTTACCTTTTGTTTAAAACTTATAACTGTTCACCACTCACCCTTGTACCATTTCAAGCTATTCATTGGACTGGAACTGCATAATTTTCAGTATGTTATGTATGAGTATTTTATGTAAAGCGCTGTATATCAGTTGTAAATGGAGATTTCTTACATGCTGTTTTTGCTGCCTTGCTGGTCAGCTATTTATTTTGTTCATCAACACCCTCTGGTGGTGTGTCTCAGGCAAAACATGATCTGATGTAATATCACTTCTTTGTAATACACTAGTGCTTTCTAGAAGCTTCTGGCATCTTCCTGCCTGGAGGGGGCAGGATTACCCAGGAATCCTGTAGATCTTTCCAGAAAGTTGCCAATCTATATAAATGCTGTGATTTTGGTCAGTGAGGGCAGAGTTTTTGTTTTGCAAATAGCCTCAAACCTTGGATTATCTGATGTGAAATCATCAATGAAGAAACAAGAAATAGTCAACATTTTGGTGCAACATATCACTGATGAAGATATCTTTGGGGAAGAAGCAGCAGAATTGATTAAAGATGTGCAGGTGCCTGCAACAGAGGTTCAAAGACTTGAATTTCAGCTACGCCTGAAAGAACTGGAAGAGAGAAGGTTGGAGAGGGAGAGAGAACTAGAAGAAAGAAGGTTGGAGAAGGAGAGGGAAGAAAGAAGGTTGGAGAAGGAGAGAGAACTGGAAGAAAGAAGATTGGAGAAAGAACTAGAAGAAAAAG